AAACATAATTTTGTCCTTGATTGTAAAATTGTTCCATAAACTATTGATGGTAATGATTTTAACATTGTTCTAAGTGAATTTTAGACTGAACTGGGTTTGTTAATCACCTTCTTCCTCTGGTTTTAAGATTTATGTAAAAGCCAATGAGTGATTTCGTATTGAAGGCTGAGCTGTGAGTAAAGAATTCTTCTTTGTATTCTCAGTCATGGCCCAGTGCGTGCAAGGTTGGGTGATTTTCTAATTCCCAAACCTCTCTGTTGGTTCTCTAAGTACTTATTGATTCCTTCTGTAAGAATGATTATATGTAAGGAGTATAAAACCTGCTGTCTAAAGGGAAGGCTAAATTTTCAGGGCAGGAGGCACACGGGGTATTGGCTAAGTCTCTTCATTTATGTTTACCAGTATGAATGGTCACGATATTAGTTACTAAATCAGCCAAGCCTTATTAATTACCTTCCCCAAATCCTGATAAGAAAAACCTCCAGAATTTATGGGTACTGAGGGGATTAATAGCTTCTAAAATGTCTGCAGCCATCATCATCAACATCATGCGTAGCTGCTTTCATGAATTCTGTAATGAGAGAAGGAACTATGGTAGACAATCATGTGCAAATAGAAACCGGTTTCAAATGAATAAACCTTAACGTGCCTGCTGCAGGTTGAGGTACTCAGGAGTAGACTCTGAGACAGAGTCTCAGACAGAGTTTGGTGTACAGGGTATTTATTAGGACATGCTCTGGAGATCAACACCTGCCGAAGGGCAGGGAAGGAAGCAGGAATGGGCAGGGGAAGAAGCCGAGCTGCAGGGCAGGCCCAACAGCAGCCTCCTCTGGCCTTACTGAGACTTCTAGATCTGAGATGGCCATTTAGAGCTGCTCTCAAGTTGGGAGGAGGGGGGAGGGTTTCCATCCCCTCCTGTCAATCAGTCATTGAATGAAGGTCGCCCCCGAAGGGTATGTGACCTTGGATGAGTCCGCTATCTGCAGCTGAGGCGGTGCCCCAAGAGGGCTGACGGCTGAAAGCCACCTTCTGGCAGCACACCCAGCAGCTGGGGGAATAGGTCCTTTATTCATGAAGCGGGGATCCGAGTGGCATATCACAGTGTGCACCGCAATGCTCTGCTGAGAATTTATAAAAACCAGCTCATAAGAAGTGCTAAGATTTGAGGAAAATGAGAAGGATGGAGGGGGCGGTGAGAATAATTGTGGTGTTCGGACTGAAAAGACCTCCATACGGAGGGTCTAGAGGTGAGGCTGGGCTAGAGGTTTGATGAAAGAGTAGCTGACATGTTCCAATGAAGACACCCAGGAGGGGTCGGGGGCGGGGGGTGTTCAAGGGTGAAAGGCTGAGATGGCAGAAAAGGGCAAGACATGTACAGGGATAACAATAAGATTGGCTTTCCTGCAGCAAGATGTTGAGGAGAATTAAAAGAGACAGAAACAGGGAATGTTGGGGTTGGGGTGGGGGGAGCCTTGATACTCTTAATCAGCTTTGACTTCAGAAACAAGTAGTAAACATTGCAGGCTTCAGAGAAAACAATTCTTGCTGCTGTGTACAAAGCAGATGGGAGGGTGAGGAGGGAGGAAGCAGAGTATCTGTGGGGTCTAGAATAGCCTGGGGGGCTTTAGTGCCCCCGCAATGTCCCCCCACCTGGAGTTGAGACTAGGCTAAGTAAGCAAAGCTCTTAGGGTGCACCATTTGTCCCCGCAAAAAAACCCTGACAGGCCTGCTCAGACTTTGTGTCCCAGGCACCTCGCTTGTCTCACCCAAGCCCCGACCCTGCTCTCGCCAAACCGTCCCATTCACATATATTTGAGCAAAAGTAGCGTACTTGCTGTGTAAATGCCACTTCTAAGCACGCGCCCTGCACTCAGAACACTCTAGTGAGTACAGAAGAATAAGGGGTGTGCACTTGGCCTGTTAGTGCCTCGCTGGGGTGCTCTGGGAATGTTCTGAGGTGGAAGTATTTGAGCTGAGACCCGAAAGCGTTTATCCATAAGAAATGAGTGGGGAAAAGCACTCCAGAAGAAAAAGCATTAAAAAAAAAAACCCCACACAGCTCAAAGTGGAAAGACTGAGATAAAATTTCATTAGCATAATTAGTAGAATTATGTATACGATCCTCTTAGGCTATTAGAGGAACAAGAAGAGGCACTACCAAGAGCTGGAAAGCGCCACGCCCTGTTTATCTTGATAATTAAAGCTGTCAAAGATAATAAAAGAAAGATGGGTTACCTATTCAGTTGACCAATTTTTTTAAATTCCAAAAAGCACTATTAAGCTTTACATTCTAGATGTAAATTCTGCCGAATGCGCATTGAGCTACAACTTAAAGCAACAAAGGGAAGGAGAGCGAGAATATTGTTGAAAGGAAAATAACACATATATAAGACAGCCTAATACGTTACAATTGCCTAACAAACGGTTGAATTCTTCCCCCTGCAGGGTTATGAGCCGGATCCCAGTGTAACCAAGCTGGCAGAGCAGTATGCCAAGGAGGTATGGCCCTTATATGTAAAGTTACAATCGCCTTTCTCTGCCCCAGTTGTTTAACTGGCACGCTTGTGTATGCTAGAACGGCACCAAGATGTCGCTGACGCACGATCCCTTGGAAGCGGCTCGTGGAGGCAACGTGTTAATTACAGACACTTGGATAAGCATGGGACAAGAAGAGGAGAAGAAAAAGCGGCTCCAGGCTTTCCAAGGTTACCAGGTTACAATGAAGGTACAAATTGATGCCTCTCGGAAGGTTCATTAATTCCATTCAGAAAGGCCAGCACCATCTAATCACTCATTCACTCTGGGGAGGACAGACTGTTCTTTCATTCCCTGTAAAGGACTCGCTGACTGTATCCTCCAGGGATTTCTCTCCTCCTGAAGATTAGCTATGTCCTTTGGAAAGACACTTCTGTCCTGGGTGAAGGAATCTGAAACCCAGGCAGAAGGAAGAAGCAAGCTTTTCCCTCTCACAGCAATGGAGGCACGGAGGCATTTTCTCTAGAGACACTGTTACTTCTTGTCGCATGCAGTTTCTTCGGATTTCTCCTCTAAGAGAAGCAGCATAATTATGTTCTTCAGGCTAGTCCTTGCCTCTAGTAGTTAAGGACTCTCAAGTCCAGTTTGGTTTGGCTTACTCCTTCCAGGGCATTCCCAGGGGGATCCTATCTAATCTGATGCCTTTCATTAATATCTGAAGCAAGGCTTCTCAATCTTGAAAATGCCTCAGAATTGCCTGGAGCTGTTAATACAGAGAGAGCAGGACCCCATTCCCCAGGGGGTTCTGAGTTAGTAGGTCAGAGTTGGGACCCAAGAACTGGCATCTGGACCAAGTTCCCCCGTGATACTGCTCCAGGGTCACACTTTGCGAACCACTGTTTTGGAGGAATACTCTACAAGGCAAGTGGACATTGGGATTTTGTCAGCAGAGCAACTAGTCTGTTTTGGTGGAGAAAGGGGTTGAGCAGTTGCAATAGGTATTTTATTGATAAAGCAATATATAAATATAAATTTTTTAATGTTTTTATTTATTTTTGAGACAGAGAGAGACAGCATGAGCAGGGGAGGGGCAGAGAGAGAGGGAGACACAGAATCCGAAGCAGACTCCAGGTTCTGAGCTGTCAGCACAGAGCCTGACGCAGGGCTCAAACTCACAGACTGTGAGATCATGACCTGAGCTGAAGTCAGACACTTAACTGACTGAACCACCCAGGCGTCCCAGCAATATATAAATATAGAAGCTCCTTATTTATCCATGTCAATAGAATGAAGTTTGAAAAATAAAAAGTGAAAACGTCTTTCTGTCATTCCTTTAAGTGACTATTTCCAGAGGTAGCCGCTGTTCAACAATTTCATGTGCCTCTTTGCAGACCTTTTCTGTGCATTTAAAAAATATATTTTTTAAGTAGGCTCCACACCCAGCACAGGGCCCAATCAAATGAGGGGCTTGAACTCACAACTCTGAGATCAAGACCTGAGCTGAGATCAAGAGTTGGATGCTTAAGGGGTGTCTGGGTGGCCCAGCTGGTTAAGTGTCCGATTTTGGCTCAGGTCATGTTCTCACGGCTCGTGAGTTTGAGCCCCGTGTCGGGCTCTGTGCTGACAGCTCAGAGCCTGGAGCCTGATTAGGATTCTGTGTCTCCCTCTCTGTCTGCCCCTTCACTGGCTCACACTCTGTCTCTCTCTCTCCTTCAAAAATAAATAAACATTAAAAAAAAAAAAGAGTCGGATGCTTAACCAACTGAGTCATCCAGGCTTTTAAAAATTAAAAAAAAAATTTTTTTCCTGCGTATTTATATATGCCTACACACACACACACACACACACACACACACACACACACACCCCTACTGATTTCTCATAAAAGGCATATTAGATATATTATTCTTACTTTTTCCACTTGACAAATCTTAGATTTTCTTGTCCATTTATTTAAACAATTTTCATTCTTTTTAGTGGCTGCATAAAATTCCAAAGTATGAGTGGACCGTGATTTATGTTGATAAACTAGGCTATTTCCAATTATCCCAACTACAAACAATGCTGCAATGTATATCTTTATACAGATTTCTTCATTCAGGTATTATTGGAGAATAGATCCCTGGAAAAAGAATTTCTAGGTAAAGAGGTATATACTTTAAAAAAATATGATAAATGCTGCTAAATAGCCATCCGAGAAGAATCGATAATTTATACTCTCTCTGCACTCTTTCCATCCATAGTTGTTACATACATTTTTTCATTTTTACAATCTATATCTCATGCTTTTAGAATTTTGCATTTCCCTGATTACTAATGAAGTTAAACATCTTTTCACGTTTATTGGCCATTTCCATGTGTTTTTCTATAAACTGTTATCATATCCTTTGCCCATTTCCTATTTGTTTTTACCATTTTATTATTGGTTATAGGAATTATTTATATATTATGGTGAATCCTTTGTCATATATGTGGCAAACAGGTAAACAGGTTCATGGAGAAATTCTAAATTCCTTGTGGTTTACCTCGCACTTGCCTTGACCAGCCTTAGGCATTTTTGTGGTGCTGGGACTGCAGGCTTGAAGAACATTCATCCCACTGATGTATGACTGGTTCAAATGTTATTCGTTTTCCATGTTCCTCTGCCATTACTTTAGAAATTCAGAAGGTTCTGAACCTAGAATAAGTATGGGAAGTAAAACAAAATTTTAGTATATAGGGAGCAATTTTGAGGTAAGAAATTATGAGGGAATGCAGTTTTGAATCTGTACGTGAACAATGGAAATGGCTGGGGAAATGCAGCTTTCAGGAATTAGTGGCTGGAGAAAATTAAAACTGTTAGGACTTTTGCATTAAGGAAACATCTAGTGCATACTACCTATAATCCTGCTTTGTGCACTCCTATCTCAGCATTCTTTTTCAAAGGTGTTTTAATTAGTGATGAAGTATGCTTCAGCTGCTAAAATCCATAACTTGGAGATGAGCTCAAAATAGAACACAGTCCCTTAAGGGCGACTTTTAAAATACATTGGGAGTGTAATGGGTGACTTTTGCTATCAGCCACATATTGTACCAACAGGGCTCTTTACTGAAATGTCCGCAATCCCTCTAGACAGAGAACCATAAAACGAGTGAGTGGTTTAATTTGGAGTGATGATCTCCCAAATCAAAGAAAATGACGATAAAATTCCCTACGTTGAAAGTACCATTTACATTTCCCTTCCGTGCCTTGAGGTTAAACCATCACTCTGCCCCTTTGTCTCTGCCTTTGCATTTGGTCTCTGACTCAGTGCCATATGTATATCTAAATACTGAAGAAGACAGGGGCACCTGGGTGGCTCAGTTGGTTAAGTGTATGAGTCTTGATTTTGGCTCAGGTCATGATCTCACGGTTCCTGAGTTCCAGCCCCGCATCGAGCTCTGTGCTGGCAGTGTGGAGCCTGCTTGGGATTCTCTCACTCTCCCTCTCTCTCTGCCCCTCCCCTGCTCGCGTTCTCTCCCCCTCTCTCAAAATAAATAAATAAACTTTAAAATAAATAAATGACAAAGAAGACAAATTTGATAGCCACTTATTATAGTCAAAACATGGTCTTATCCCATCTCTTCTTTAGACTGCTAAAGTTGCTGCCTCTGACTGGACATTTTTACACTGCTTGCCCAGAAAGCCAGAAGAAGTGGATGATGAAGTGTTTTATTCTCCACGATCACTAGTATTCCCAGAGGCTGAAAACAGGAAGTGGACAATCATGGTAAGCAAGCAATAGGGAACAGAAGCTAAGAAGGGGTTCTCTGTGCGGCCCTAACTTGGTCATTCATGCCTTTTGGTAAGTAATTTGCAACCAAGATTATCCACCTACCTGACTTGCTCATATGGCATCTATTTTTTTTCCCCAGGAAGTTCATAATAGATTATTATTGCCTATTAGCATTTATATTGCATTTTTAATGGTGTACAATTGATCTCCTTCCAAACAGATTTTAATAAAAATTCTGACTGCTCTTGATCAGCCTGAACACCAGCCACCATTGCCTGCCAATCATTATACTGTATAATTCTTATTTTACAATCCCCTTCTTAATGTTTACAGAAGCCTCTAATTCAGTCCCTGGCACAAAATGGGCATTCAAAGAAATCTTATTTCCTTCCTCTTCTCTTTCTTCCTTTCATGAGTTACCTAGATAATTGTTTTGGTTCTCTACTTGACTTGGCCACATGGATATATTTGTTTTAGGTATTGAACTTTTCTAGAATTGCAACAAAACTAATCTTAGAAAACACTGGTCCCTTTAACAGAAGTTTCATCTTCATTACTGCTATTCAAGGAAATATTAACCCCAAATCTCTGCATTACAATACTGTAAACTTCACCTTCTTCTCTGGAAAACTGATCTCAATTACTGGGGTCTCACTGGCAAATAGAGTCCACTTTAGGAAAGATAAAACGGTAATACAGGAATTTATTAAAAGACATTTAGCAGTGCCCAGAAGCTCTGGGGAAAGAAGGTGCAGTGAATCATTCTCAGATACCATATATTCAGAAACAACACAGGCAAGACAACTGCCCAGCAACATTGTGGTTTTTTAGTAGCTAACCACCACTGACACAGCCACCCCAAAGCGGGGCACCTAAGGGCCCTGAAACGAAATGCCAAACACTCCATTATAGCCACCCCAGCTGAACCAGATACCCCCACCTGCATACAGAGCAGAAGATCCAATGTCCCAGAGGATGGCTTCCATTGCACATTGCACCCTTATGGCTCTAAGACTTGAGTAGATACAGTTGGGTGGCATGCCTGCACCTTAGTTTCTGGTAGTTTTTATTTTTTTTTATTTTTTATTTTTTTCAATATATGAAGTTTATTGTCAAATTGGTTTCCATACAACACCCAGTGCTCATCCCAAAAGGTGCCCTCCGCAATACCCATCACCCACCCTCCCCTTCCTCTCACCCCCCATCAACCCTCAGTTTGTTCTCAGTTTTTAAGAGTCTCTTATGCTTTGGCTCTCTCCCACTCTAACCTTTTTTTTTTTCCTTCCCCTCCCCCATGGGTTTCTGTTAAGCTTCTCAGGATCCACATAAGAGTGAAACCATAGGGTGTCTGTCTTTCTCTGTATGGCTTATTTCACTTAGCATCACACTCTCCAGTTCCATCCACGTTCCTACAAAGGGCCATTGGGAAATGTAGTTTTTAGCCTTTAACCTCTGGAGTAGAGAAAAACAGGCTGGAAAAGACTACCCGGTAATTTTTTAACTGATCTATCGATGGGAATAGATAGGGTTATTGTGAGCATTAAAATAATACCTGTAAAGCATTTAGTATCATATCTAATACACTATAAATTTATTATAATTATTATCGTCAACATCATCCTCATTGTTGACCTAATACAGTGACCAACAGAGATTCGAGCTCCACTGTGGCTGCTTAAAAGCCAATTATGACTCCCTTTGCAATGGAAAGTTATGGATCAGGCCTAAATTGGTCATATCTAATAAGAGGGATGTTTTTTTTTTTTTACCGTACCTTCCAGTTTGCCACCTCAGGACACTAGCTTTGGCCAAAATGGCAATTGCTATGTAATCTAGACCAGTGCTTTTAAAGCTTTAATATCTATTTGAATCACCTAGGGATCTCGTTAAAGTGCAGATTCAGATTCAGCCTGCCCGAGATGGGGCCCAAGATTCAGCATTCCTAACAAGCACCAAGGTCATGCAGATGCTGCTGTCCTGGGGCCCACATTTCGAGTAGCAAAGAACTACACAAAAGAAAATGTGAGCTCTCCAACTGTACACGTCAGGAAGAGACATGGCAAGAAATGTTTTCCAAGCTCTAGTCTTTCTCAGAAGATGATTGAAGTTACAAAGATAAATCAACCTAAATCTGTTAAAATATGACCTCTGTAGAAATTCAGTGGGGAAAAAAAAACTAAAAGAGAGGCTTCTAAAATATCATTTATGGAGATGCTCTGCACTTCTGCATTTTTGAAGAGCTTATTAAAACGCATCTTGAAATTGAATTCACTTTAAAGCTTTTGTTTAAAAATTTTTAATGTTTATTTGTTTTTGAGAGAGATTGAGAGACAGAACATGAGTAGGGGAAGAGCAGAGAGAGAGGGAGACACAGAATCCGAAGCAGGATCCAGGCTCCGAGCTGTCAGCACAGAGCCCAACATGGGGCTCAAACTCTCGAACCGTGAGATCATGACCTGAGCTGAAGTCAGATGCTTAACCAACAGAGCCACCCAGGCGCCCCTAAATTGAATTTACTTAAAAAAAATTAAATACATCTGTATTCACATGGTTGAAATGCTTACAAGGACATACACACACACACACACACACACACACACACACACAAAGTGAAATCTCATGCCTACCTATTTTTTTCCATCCATCTAAGTGCTACCACCATCTCTCCATATCCCACCTTCCTGAAGTGCCACTATCATTAGGGGAAAATAAATTTTATTTTATTTTTTTTAAATATAGTTTATTGTCAAATTGGTTTCCATACAACACCCAGTGCTCATCCCAACAAGTGCCCTCCTCAATGCCCATCACCTGCTGGGAAAATACATTTTAAAGCAAACAAGAGGCATAGCCATGTTAAAATGAACACAGAGCATCTAAAATAGAAAGAATACTCACCTGGGAGTGAGGAGACTTGCACCCTGGCTGCATTCTTTATATACCACATACTTTATATACTTTATATAGTCTTTCATACTAGTCAGCTGTGCCAGCTTGGATAAGTATTACTTCTCTAGGTCATGGTTTCCTCACGTATGAGGTAAATAAATCAAGCTATACAGATGGCAACTGGTTTTTAATATTAGGTCCTTAATCTCACCAACAGGCTACTTGGAGTCCTATGTTCAGAAGATTCTAAGCCTGCCTGTGGTCTCAGAAAGAAAGGGGCGTAACTGACTCGTGAAACTTGACACGGAATCTGGAGGGGAGGTAGTGATACACATGCTGCACTCTTCATGCCTCTGAACTAGATGATTGCGGGCCCCACTGAGTGAAGTTCATTTTGGCAATCATATACTGGACATCTATTGTGTGTGCCAGTCCCTCTGCTGCGCACTGGAGATTGTTTCAAAAATGAATAGTGGGCAGCCCCCACTCAGCCTGTATAGTTCATAGTAGTATGCCATGTTCAAGAGAGAGGAGATCCTAGAGATTGTCTAGTCTACATGCAAAGAAATTATTCTTAGATAGCTTATTTAGAATGGTGTTTGGGCTCAACACTGCTGAGATAGATTTCTCTGGGATGTTCTAAAGGCACAATACTTGTTTTCCTCTAGAACGTCCATATCCTAAGCAGTAACCGCTAGGCACAGATGGCTATCTCAATTTAAATTTAAACTAATTACAATATAATACAATGTGGGTACCTGGGTGGCTCAGTCAGTTGAGCACCAGACTCTTAATTTTAGCTCAGGTCATGATCCCAGGGTTGTGGGAATGAACCCCATTTTGGGCTCCATGCTTAGCATGGAGCCTGCTTAAGATATTCTCTCTCTCTCTCTCTCTCTCTCTCTCTCTCTCTCTCTTCCTCCTCCTCTGCCCCTCTCCCCCTCTCTCTCTCTCTAAAAAATAAATAATAGGGTTGCCTGGGTGGCTAAGTCGGTTAAGCACCTGACTCTTGATTTCCGCTCAGGTTATGAGC